GTACTCTATTACTTCAATTACCGAATCTACAATATTCCACACAAAAGCAAACCAGTCCCAGATTTCTTGCAAAATTCCCCTCCCGCCAATTCCCCACTCACTTTCCCTCCTCTTCCCTGAACCGAACCATTTTCCGGGAAAATTTCCCCTATTCCAAACCAGATACCCCTTTGACGGAACCTAATTTTCAAATTTTCCGCTAATTCGCTGCTATTTCCGGAGGATTCAGCGCCAATTTCATCGCTCTTCTTCGATACGTTCAGTCTATTGACCTCCTTGTCTAGGGTTTCGAACTTTTGACCTGCAAATGCCTTCCATAATCTCTCCGGGGAAAATCCTCCGCTTGGAGCTCGAGAACTTCAAGTCCTACAAGGGCCAACAGACAATCGGTCCTTTCTACGACTTCACGGCGATAATTGGCCCCAATGGCGCCGGGAAATCCAACCTCATGGACGCTATCAGCTTCGTGCTCGGTGTACGGACGGGGCAGCTCCGTGGGGCCCAGTTGAAGGACCTGATCTACGCTTACGACGACAAGGAGAAGGAACAGAGGGGCCGAAGGGCCTTCGTTCGCTTGGTTTACCAGCTTGCTAACGGGTCGGAGCTCCAGTTCACTCGGACCATCACCAGCTCCGGCGGGAGCGAGTACAGAATCGATGGAACCCCCGTTACGTGGGACGAATATAATGGGAGATTGAGGTCGCTGGGAATTCTCGTCAAGGCTCGGAATTTTCTGGTTTTTCAGGTTCATTTCATAGTCTTCCCTTAAATAGTATTTTGTCTCCGTTTTGATTCTGATCTAGAAATGAGATTAGGTTATTGAAACTACTTCTCCTCTGATTTCTTATGTTTAATCTTTTGCTTAAATTTCTCCCATTTAGATATTACGGGTTCTACTTCTTATGCGGGAATGGAATTTTTATCTCCAACTCCAAATTTGTTTTCTTTGTTTTTCTTGTTCGCTGATTTTAATTCTATTATTAGAATTTCTTTTAAAAGGCATCAGGAAAGATGAAAATTGAAATCGGTCTTGTGATGATTATAGTCAGGTTACTTGTGGGAGTGTATAACCGTGCTAGAATTTGTGTTGGTTTCTAATTCACATGGCGCTTCTAATTTTCTAAAATACGACAGTGAACTTGCTTATGAAAGTGGCTTCAATATGTTCATATTCTGGAGTTTGGACTTACTACTGATGATTAATTGAAAATTATCGTGCAGGGTGATGTGGAGTCTATTGCGTCAAAAAACCCGAAGGAACTCACTGTACTTCTTGAGCAGGTCTCAGGATCTGATGACTTGAAGAGAGATTATGAGAAATATGACGAAGAGAAAGCTAGAGCTGAAGAAAAATCGGCGCTAGTTTATTCGAAAAAGAGAACCATTGTGTCGGAGAGGAAGCAAAAGAAAGAGCAAAAGGAAGAAGCAGAGAAACATATACGTTTACAAGAGCAACTGGTGCGAATCAGAAAGTTCTTTGGTTGTTTTTGGTTATACATGCGTTTTCATATGGCCCTACATGCATATGCACGCATGCGTGTGCTTGTGCATGTAATATGGCAGTTGCGTGGCCTCAAATTTCAGAGGCTTTTTCTTCTTTAAGAACTTTCTTCATGCTTAGAGTTTCTTAGGGAATCAGATATTTGTGGAAAGAAATATACTGAAAAGGAATTTTGGTCTTGGTTCAGAAAATGAGTCTTTTTTATTCCTGATGGCTTTGAATATCATTTCTTTGAAGAGAATTTAAGATTTTAACATTTGTTTTGGTTGGTGGTTTGACTCTTTATTAAAAAAAAAAAATTGTTAGGTGGTTTAAAATTAAATATGGAATCTCTCACCTCACCTCTAGTGTC